TGCTTTATCTGTGTATTTGGAGTATTTTGCAACAACTTTAGGATCTCGAGAACAATTAGCAATTGCAGAATTTGCTGAAGCTTTATTGATTATTCCAAAGGTTTTGTTTTTCTTTTAAAAAAAAATTATTTTTAATCTTAAATATAAATATAATATTTTTTATTTTATTGCACAGATTCTTGCTGTGAATGCTGCAAAGGATGCAACTGATTTAGTAGCTCAGTTGCGTGCGTGTCATCATACTGCACAAACTAATGCAGATAAGAAGCATCTGTCAAAGTAATTAATAATTTAATATATTGCTTTTTTTGTCTCATAAATGAATATATATATTTTTTTGTTAAAACTCTTCTACTTAAGGAATTGTACTTTTTTTTTTCTTTCCAAAATGAGTTCTTGATTGGATTTAGCCTTTTTAAGAACTGCGTATAGAATTGTATATTCATTTTATGGTAGAGTGAATTACTTTTCTGGTCTGAAAATGTTTTCCTTTTCAATTTTGGTCCTTATTTGAGATTTTTGTAACGTTTTTGGTCCTTGTTTCAAGTAAATTGATTATATTTTGGGGCCAAAATTGCAAAATCATACCCAGGGGCCAAAAATAATCATTTTACTTGGAACAGGGACCAAAAATGTTACAAGAACCTCACTATAAGGACCAAATTTGCAAAATATTTTTTTTTAGACCAAATTTGTAAAAATCAGCTATAGTTAGGGTCCAAAAATAATCATTTCACTTGGAACAAGGTCCAAAAACGTTACACGAACCTCACTATAAGGACCAAAATTGCAAAAATCAGCTATACTTGGGGACTAAAAATAGTTATTACACTTGGAATAAGGACCAAAAACGTTACAATAACCTCAAATAAAGACCAAAGTTACAAAAATCATATATACTCAGGGTTTAAACTTGTACTTTACTCTTCTATGTATTATATGAAGTGTATGAAATTAATGGCTTAAGTTCATAGTGAAATAATTATCTCTTTGGCTATGTAATGTTTTTAATTTTTATTTTTTATGATGTAATTTTGATTTTTGATTTTATTTTATTGCAGCATGGGATTGGATCTATTAAAGGGTACCACCCGTAATAACATGGAAGCTGGTGTGATTGAACCTACAATGAGCAAAATCAAGATACTTCAGGTAAATATTATAGAGAAAAATGTTGTGTAAGTAAATAATAACTAAATATTAATAAAAAAAACAATTAAGACTAAAGTTTATTTATTTATTTTTTTGTCAGTTTGCGACTGAAGCAGCTATAACAATACTTCGAATTGATGACATGATCAGACTTGCAAAGGACGAGAGTGAAGATGGTCAAAATTAAATCATTTTTTTTTGTATATTAAAAATAAGTCAAAATTTTGGTTCGATTCATTCATGTTCGAATCATCAATATCAACATTGTTGTTGGTGGAAATTGGAAAGAATAGCTTTTGTGAATTGCACAACTTTAACAAGTGTTTGATGAATGTTTTTGGGTGTTAAATGCAAAGTGATGGCGTTTTGAACTTTCGCATCAGTTGATTGCATAGATTCCGTTGCTTAATCCCATCAACAGTAATTGGAAACTCATACAGCTAAGAGGCGTGGGGTCAACAATTACCACTTAGGGATGTTATTGCACACGCATGCAATCTCCAAAAATAAGAATTCAAGAGATGAAAAATCCTCTCTAATAAAACCAAACAAAACTACCAAGACCTTCTATTTATTACCACGTTTCTATAATATCTAATAAAAAAACTCTAAAGATAAAATATGTTGATGATACCTATTTTCATATACAAATCATGATTGTGTATTTGTATAAGACGAGTTTGATACCTTGAAACCTAAAAAGAATTCCAGGCTAGAAATGCAACGGAAAAAGAAATACTATTATAAGTGACAATTTTGATGGGTTTTAGGTAAAACAAATAAACTAGAAAAACAATTCTTAAGTTCACATGCAACCTACTTTGGATCTATGTTTTAACTATTGAACATATAACTTTGAATTGCAAAACAAGAACCCTAGAGGAGGAGGCTATTTTCGAAAATAGTAACCTAGGGTTTAGGAGTTACATACCTTTCGATTGTTATAGCAAACAATTGATAATTCCCTTGATCTTGATCTTGATCTTCTTGGAAGCTTAGCACCACAAGTGTAATGCCTCTAATGGAATCACACCCAAGAACTAGCAAGAAGGAAAGTAGAAGAAGAGAGAAAGGGAGGGAGTATGCAATTCGGCCTAGGGTTTCTTCCAAAGAACAGAGTGGCCGAAAATGTGAGCCAGAGGCTCCTTAAATAGCTGAGGGATCTAGGGTTTTGGGAAAACCCCTAATGCTCCTTGCTTAAGGCCTAAGCAAAGCCCAAGGGCCTTATCTAGAACCCCTTGAACGAAATCTCTAGGGTTTCCCCTATGGATTTCGTCCACCTCCTTCCAAGGAGGTTCTGGATCCTTCCACTCAACTATTAGTTAATTGCAAACTAGTCCCTGCACTTTATAATTAATTCTTTTAACCCCCAAAATTAATTCTGATTAAATTCTGGCTAACTATTAATTAAACATAATGATTTCTAATTAATATATTAATCCACTAACATATTAATAAATCATTTATATATTAATTTATTAATCTTATAAATTAATATCTCTCCTTTCATAATTTCCTTATCCAGTTGCTAGGTTGAGGGCAACCCAAAAGGACTGTGCTGCTATCAATTCAAATACATACCAATTATAGTTATGAGCTTAGACACCTAATCCAACAAATTTAACATATAATAACAAGAACAAACTTCCAACAACTTAGAACATCAATAGCTCCCATCATCATTCATTGAATTCATCTGTAGATTTTTTTTTTTTGCTTTCTCATGTCATATTTCCATTAGCTTTATCAAACAAAATGCTATCAACTTAAACATTTTCTAATCATTGACCACTTTAAAAATTTTATTTTTTATTTTTTATTTTAAATTAACTAATTTACCTTTATATTTGTGAAATATTTTATAAAGCCTACTAATCTAACTTATTATTTTTTAAGCATATATAATATTTATGAAACTAAAAAAATAAAATACTTAACAATACCATTAAAACAATCAATATATAACAACACACAAAATTAAATCAATACTATTAAATCTAGAGTCCACATTTCGCTTTTATCTCATCGCATAACATTATGTATATAATGATAAAGATAAAAAACAAAACGATATAAATATCCTATGACCATTACTAGTTTAATAGTTAACTTTGAAGATTAAAACATGAAACTCAAAAAAAAAATTAATTGGATAAAATATGAATCTGAAAAAAATAAAATAAAAATAGTTGATGTAAATAAATATTTTTAAGGTTGATTATTAATATTTGACATCTCAAATAATGATACTCATAGTCAATTTGGACTAAGTTTGTTAGTTTGAGTAATAACATGTGACGGTACCTGGTAATGTTAGTTTAGTTTGGTACATGTTAGTTTAGTTTGAGACTGGTTCCGTGTAATGCTCATCCATAATTTGACGTACATATAACTGCTTGTAAATTGCTTTTAACTTTCGAAAACCATTATTTTCGCTATCCTTATCACATTTTCAAACATTTTAGAATTCCTAACAAATTGAACTACCCTCACATTCAATGCTACCTTGCTTTCCCTTTTATTTGTGTCTAAATCTAAAACCACCTTTTGTTGATTACTCTATATTGGATTTCATACTACCATACCTAGGGATGTCAAAAACCCCCGTGGGATCCCGTTCCCATGGGACCCCGATACCGTACGAGACTAATTTTTAAAAAAATTCGGGAGCGGGAGCGGGGGCGGGGGCGGGATTAAACCCGTTTATTTTCGGGATTGGGGTCGGGAGTAGGCGTTTCCGTCCCGTACTCCCGCGGGGGCCCCGTTTTTATATTGATATAAAAAATATTTAATATAAAATATATATAGAAAATAGAGTATCAATTTTTAGGGTTTCCTACTTTCCTTTTCCTTCCTCAATCCACTTCACGCATACGACTTCTCTCAATCCACTTCATCCTTCAAGTCGACTTCTCTCAACCCCTCTCTATAAAATTCCCAATTTCTCGACTTTACTCTCTAGCAATCACGTCTTCTTCTTCGTCTTAACTCTTCACAGTTCACAAATTACACTCACTGAGTCACCGACTCACATCCCCTCTATTGGAATCGAACGAGTCGGCGACAAGAGTACAAGACCACGAACGGTACGACGACAGAGTACTGCTTGACTGCACCTGTCGGCGCCCAGTCGTCGTCTACTTGTTGATGACATACCTTCCTCCACCAGCGTCGGTGAACAGTTCTTGTCTCGAACATCAAGCACTCTTTTTTCTGTGATGGTTTTGGTAATTTCTTCTTTGGTCCAATTCAAATGAGACAATGATTTCTAGTCCAGTTCAGTTTTCTAATTTGTATGATTGTCGATTTTATGGTTTCTTTTCTGAATTAAGACTATGATTTCTGGATTGATTTCAATTGATAGTGTGCTTGTTTCGATTCTGATTTCTGAATTGAAATTGGATTTTAGTTGTAGTGAGTTAATTTTTGAATTGATTTATACTGAATTGATATTGGATTTAAGTTGTTGTAAATTGATTTTTGATTTGTTATTGTATTTAAGTTGCTATGAAAGATTGCTGTGATAATTTTCAGTTTAGCTATCTTGATGTTTGCGATGACGTTGGTGTGATTTAAGTTTTGATGTTTGCTGTGAATTACTATATGAAAAGTAGTTTTTTTAAAACCCAAAATATAGCATTTTTAAGAAAAAAAAAATCAATTTTAAGCCCATAAACAGGGAACAGGGGCGGGATCGGGGTTAATAGAGGTATTCGGGGGCGGGATCGGGGGCTAGATAACCGGGGGGATTGTTGATTTCGGGTTGACATCCCTAACCATACCATACAGTCAAAATATGAAGTAGTAAGAGAAATAAGGGGCATTATGTAAAACTTTCCTAATTTTGGGTCACTTTTGGTGATTACATATATAAACCTCGACAATAACCTTCCCGACAAAATCACTACCATTTCGATTCAAGCAAGCAGCGGCCATTGCAACACGAGGTTTTCTCTTTCCCTCTTTCTCTTTCTGTCCTCTCTCCTCTCTCTAGCACTTGCATTTCTCCTCTTTCTCTATTTAGCTCAATGCTCTGTTGACACAAAATAACTAACGCTTACCCTAATTAACTCTATCCTTCTCAGTCTGTGGCATCCTAATCTCGTTCTTGTTTTTTTGATCGATTTGTTTGTGGTTTTTTTCTTCAAATCTTTGATTACATGTATGCACATTTGATTGACAATATTACCAGATTATATGCGTCGCTCGATTGCTTATGATATATCTATGAATGTTATGTTGAATACAGGGGTTATGATTTGTCAACTTGATTAGATGTATATAAAATCCCAAACACGCGAACATGACGATTTAGGTTTTGTTGCGATGAGTAGTAAGAAACTGGAGTTATTTCCGGAAAACTTTATACTCATATATCTAATTCAAACCTTTTTTGTTGCAGGATTGTTAGAAGATAAGAAGAATGGTGGCTTTTACATTGCCTCAAAACTCTTCCATTCAGTGTCTAAGATCTTCTTTGCTTCCTCATAAACCTCAATATCTCAACAAACCTTCACAGAAGTTACTTCCTGTAAATGATACTAAATTACATGGAATTGGAATTCGATCAAAAGAAACAAGAGTTGTACCAAAAATATGTCATGCCATTTCTGAGAAAGCATCATTAGGAGGTGTCTTGCCCAAAAATAACAACCCTGTAATTGTGATTGACAATTATGACAGCTTCACTTACAATCTTTGTCAGGTTCTCCTCTTTCTCTCATTCAGTATAAAAATGACTCTTTTTTCTGAAGTGAATTCATGTATTCATTCATAGCACACAATTATATGTTATGTTAATGCCCTTTTTAATTTGTAGTATATTGGAGAACTTGGATGCAACTTTGAAGTTTACAGAAATGATGAACTTACCGTTGATGAACTCAAAAAGTAGTAATTATTCTCATTTGTTTTTTTTTTAATCTTACTTTTTTTATTGTTTATGTATTTTTTTGTTTTATAGGAAAAATCCTAGAGGAATTCTCATATCTCCTGGACCAGGTAACCTCACAGTTACAGCTGTGTATATTTGTATAAAAATTTATGTTCATAATATTAAATATTATAAATTTCATTTTATAAAAGGTGCTCCACAAGATTCAGGAATTTCATTACAAACAGTACTTGAACTTGGACCTGATATACCTTTATTTGGTGTATGCATGGGATTACAATGCATTGGTGAAGCTTTTGGAGGTTAGTTTTTTTTTTTTTTTAATTTTTAAATAATAATATTTCTTGTGATTTTGTATATGCATTCAGAAACTTTAGTGTTAAATCATATCCTTCATTGTCAAAGATGCATATATGTCATTAGGGTTTGTTTGTCATGATGGAATGGAATCAACAAAGGAATGGAATGTGTCATTACATTCTGTTATCATGTTTGGTTGTTTTAAAGGTATGAGATGAGTAATTCAAACAAACATGACTTTCTCATTCCGTCGTAATCCTCCATTCCATTCCTTGTTTGATTACAAATTCATTATTTTAATTTTCACTCAGTAAATAAAAAAAATAATTAATTTATAAATTTTACAGGGAAAATCGTGCGATCTCCTTTCGGTGTAATGCATGGAAAAAGCTCACTTGTTTATCATAACGAAGGCGGAGAAGATAGTTTATTTTCAGGCATATCAAAGTATGTAATTTTTTTATTTAAAAAATAAAAATAAAAATATAGTTTTTAATTATGATTTTGACATTTATTTTTGTTTTTTTGTTAGCCCATTTATTGTTGGTAGATATCATAGCCTTGTAATTGAGAAAGAGAGCTTTCCTAGTGATGCACTTGAAATCACTGCATGGACAGAGGATGGATTAGTTATGGCTGCACGTCACAAAATATATCGCCATTTACAGGTAATAATATTATTATTTATTATTTATTCATTTCCAAAAATTAAATAATAATAATGGATTAATCTTTTTTGTTTATTTTTTAGGGGGTACAGTTTCATCCAGAGAGCATTATTACAACCGAAGGCAAGACAATTGTTGGTAACTTTATTAAACTCATAGAGACCAAGGAAGAAGCTCAAGCTATTTCTAGAAATTAAATTTGGGAAAATTTAATATCTTTAAGAGTTTTTTTTTTCAAGGTACATGATTTTGACGTTTTGATATTCAAACTAGGAAGATTAAGTTAAGGGTTCGTTTTTCTTTTTGTAGTTTTTTTATACCATATTTTGCTTATGTTATAGATTTTATAACTTGTTGGGAAAACATATGTGAAGAGGTGAAATTTGAAATTGGGATTTTGGTACTTTTTTTTTTTTTTATTGTTTTGAGTAATTAACTTTATGTTGCTAGTTTAACAAGAAAAATCATTAAAAGGAACAAATTGAACATTTATTTGAAGTGGTTCATCATCTAGAAAGGTGGGACAATAGCTTGTAGTCTTACAAACATCGAGCAAAAAGAGATATGCAATTAATAATTTACAAGTTGTGATTCTTATTGAATGTTTTTATAGATGAATTGCATAACAAACCAATATTAATGTCGTATGAATCTATATGCAATTATTAGCAAATACGATGAAAACTTGATACTCACAATAATATGCTGTGTATAAAGATTCAAGAATGAGGATAACATATTTCATTAGATTCTGAAGCTTTCAGCATAGCATAGCAATCTATCATTTGCTCTTATTATACACAAACACAAAATCGAATGGAAATACACATTTGAATCTGTAGTCATGATACATAAGAGAGCTCCCAAAACATATATAAGAACAAAAAAGATGTGTTAACATCTCAACATGATTTCAAATCAAATCTACTCAAGTTAACACCATTCTTTACTAAAACTATATCATCAAGAATAATTCATATAAAGTCGACAACTTTTTCAAGATTTTCAACATACCAATCTCTCTCACTTGCTCTTCACACTAACTCCATCTTTTCCGGCGATGATCACAGCGGTGGTCATATCCAGAAACAACCCATGTTCCACCACCCCTTCAAAAGCCGATATCTCCTTTCCAGCAGCCCATGCATCCTTAATCGGAGTCTTGAAATACAAATCCACAATGTAATTCATGTTATCAGTAACATAAGGCTTTCCATCTCCATCTAATCTCAATTTTGCATCGCACCCTTCCGATTTGAACAAATCTTGCAGACGAACCAGATTATACTTCCAACAAAACTGCACCACTTCAACAGGCATTGCTAATCCGCTTCCACCTAAACCAGAAACAAGCTTCGAATCGTCGACAACCACCACGAATTTGTCGGATGCGGCTTCCACCATTTTTTCACGGAGGAGGGCGCCGCCTCGGCCTTTGACTAGATTGAGATCAGGGTCGACTTCATCTGCGCCGTCGATTGCGAGGTCAAGTTTGGGATGATCGTCGAGGATCGATAAGGGGATCCCGAGGGAAGCGGCTTGTTCTTGAGTTCTTTTTGATGTGGGTACGCCGACAATGTCTTTGAGTTCGCCGGATGCGAGGAGTTCACCGATTTTCGATACCACAAAGGCGGCGGTGGAACCGGTGCCGAGTCCGAGAACCATCCCGGAGCTGACGTACTCTACGGCCTTATCCGCGGCGAGTTTTTTGAGATCGTCTTGGGTTAGTGGTTGGACAGGGGATGGGGCAGAGAAGGCTTTGATGGAGAGATATCGAGGGGAATTGAAGGTGACAAGGCGGGTGGAGGTGGCGATTGCGGCATTGTTGTGGTGGCGGAGAAGGGAGGAGGAGAGAGGAGGACGGGATAGGAGGGAGAGGGAAGCCATGGTTGACGGGAAGGGGTAGGTGGGTGTGGTGTTGGCTCACTCAACAATGAATCTCTGTCTATCCGATGATCGATCAAGTGTTTGTGTTAGGCTGCCATTGATTTGTCGTTTCTACTTTCTACCAAAACAAAAGCTTGGTTGGGTTTGTTTTGAAAGGATGAGCCTTTTTTGTCCACTTTCTTTCAAGAATGCAAAGTTTCATTTAGCCACAAAGTTTTGGTTTTTCACGATTATGTCCCTCTCAAGAATGCAAGTTTCAATTTATCAACCAAACTTCTCAAAAAATGATTGTATTAGTTTACCAGTGACACACCCATGACCATAATGAACATTATCTACTAATTCTTTCCGAACTTAACTTGTTGTGTTAAGGAATCTATGACTATTGTGATATCACCGAGTCTATATCAAGAATCTAGCTGGTATCATGTCATTAACATCATCTTTATTAGGTTTAAGAAAAGATGCAAGAGGGCGTTGCAGATTGGTACTCGTGATATTTCCCATCTTGTGTTAGGTTATGATCGACAAACACATATATAAGACATGAATAAAGATAAAGAGCACATAAGAATTAACGTGGATCACATGACTAGGGTAATTGTTTTGTTCACAACTACATTAGATGTTTATAATGATTTCGCAATGTAGGATTACAAGTACAACGAGATACTATATATGAATAAAACATAGTCTAAAAATCCAGGTAACCTAAGCTAACAAACTGCCTATGTCATCATTTGAAGGCTTCAAAGCCTTTTAAAGTCTTCAAATGAGAAGCCTTCTTGAAATTGCCTTATGAAGTCAAGTGTTTTTATAGACTTTATGAAGAAGGAACTTTTGCACATCCACAGTCAAACTCCACAACTCAATTATCTCCTACTAGGAGACAAATTAACAAACCAACTACCTTCGAAAGCATGTAACTTTTGTGAACTCACAACCGTGTAACCTCAAGTACCATTGTCTTGGTTCTTGCTTGAATATATACATTATTTTATTCAGTTCGAACATGATTTTTCTTTACCAGTCATCTAGAAATCTTATGCTTGCTGGCATGTAAATGTCTTCTTGAAGGTCTCCATATAAGAAAACTGTTTTTACATATAGCTTCTCCATATGTAAGTCTTCTGCAACCAATATACCTAAGACTAATATGCTTATAATAATCTCCACAACTAGAGAGAATATATCATTATAATTAACCTCACTTTTCTATTGACACCCATCTAGGCTTGTATCTCTTGCTACCATCCAACTGATCCTTTACCTTGAAGACATACTTATTCTTTCTTTCATACGGGTAAATTGACCAAGGACTAAGTTTGATTATTTTCAAGTGAACTTATCTCATCCTCCAAAGAATTCTTCCACTATATGCAATCCTTTATTCTTAAAGCTTTTAGATAAAACTTTGCCTCATTATTCTAAGTTAATAGCAAATAGTTTGCTGATGGAGAGTATCTACAAGGGCGGATCTTTATTAGGGCGAGGGGAGCCTGCCCCCCCCCCCCCCCC